GATGGCTTCTTGTGGCTGTTTTTATCTTTGGATAATGGAGCACTGGCACAAATTGCCCAGAGAGGCTCTGGAGACTCCTCCTTGGAGATCTCCAAAAGCTGCCTGGATGTGGCCCTGGGCACCCTGCTCCAGGAGTCCCTGATGAGCAGGGCTTACAGCAGATGGATCTGGATGGATCATTCTGATTCAGTGAAAGCCCTGAAGGAGGTGAGCATAATGAAGACTTGAGGCTCAGCATCACCTCTCAACGTGGGGGAGCAAACATGGGGAAGCAAGGGCAGAGATGGGGCCACGCTGGCAGCCAGCAAGAAGTGCCTTCCCTTTCCTCTCCCTCCTCTGCAGAACAGCAGAGGGTGTTGCAGCCCAGACTGAACACCCAGGTCACTTTCTCCCACTGGCCACAGCTCCCCAGCCTCCAGCCCAGCTGCCGGCAGGTGTGGGAGGCCAGCAGCCTGAGAGCTGCCTTTAGGCCTCCCCGCAGCCTCGCTGGGTCACGGCGTGTCGGGCAGCGTGTACCTTCGCTTTCCTGGAAAGCAACTTGTGTCGATACTGAGAAGAGCCTTGTTCTTGGAGGGGGAGGGGAGGCCCGGCCACTGCTTCACGCTAAGGGGCCACTACTTGTGCTAATTTTTCTTATAGGGCTGAACTAATGCAGCCTGCACTCACTCTAAACCACAGAAAGGTGTTTTTGTTTGTTTTTTTCTTTGTTCTTTTTCTTTTTTTTTTCAGGGGGGAAGGGGAAGGGAAGCAAGGGGCTGGAAGATTTTTTTGTGTGTTGATTTTGTCCTTCCAGCTTTTTCTACCTGTGATGCTTTTTGTTTGTTTGTTTGTTGCTCTTCTTCTTAATGCTTTGCTGTTTGCATCCACCAAAAGGAGGCCTTGAGAAAGGACCACCTAAAAGGTAAAGAGAGAAAGGTATTTGCAGTAAAAGGCTGTACATTTTGTGCTCTGCCTGCAGGCTGGATACACAGCACATCAGGAGGTCATGGCAACCATTGCCTACCTACGCCCCAAGCATCCTTCATCCTCCTCTCTATACATCTTGTGCACTGTGTTGTCGCTTATGCTGTGGGGTCCTTGCCTGCCACATCCTTGCTTCTCTCCATTGACGTTCTTCCAGGTGGCAGGAGCTCCACATGCAGGCTCTGGGCTGCTCTGATCAATCACCACCAGGGTAGGCTATGTGCAGAATAGTTGATCTTCTACCCATGTTCCACCTGCAAACCCAGTCTGCACACTTTGGAGGACAGCAGCTTTGGGTCTGCCTGGAGGCCCAGTAAAGCACTGAGCCTCTAAATAGTCTGTAATGATCCAGAGACCATGCTTCAGTCCCATCTGAGCTTCCACACACAGGATTGCTGGCAGAAGGGCAAAGTAGCACTAACACTTAGCATCATAGAACCATACAGGCTGGGAAAGACCTCTAAGATCATCTGGTCTAACTGGTCATCCAGCCACCAATACTGCCTGCTAAACCAGGTCCCTAAGTACTACATCTACCCTTGAACACCTTCAGGGATAGTGACTCCACCACCTCCCTGGGCAGCGTGTTCCAATTCATTGCCACTCTTTCAGAGAATAAATTTTTCCTAAAACCAACTTGAGCCTCCCAACTTGAACCTCCCCTTGATGTCATTCCATCTTGTCCTATCATTGTTACCTTGGAGAAGAGACCGACCTCCCCTTTGATACCACCTTCTTTCAGGTCACTGTAGAGAGAGATAAGGTCTCCCCTAAGTCCCCTCTTCTTCTGACTGAAAAACCTCAGTTCCCTCAGCTGCTCCTCATCAGACTTGTGCTCCAGACCCCTCACTGCTCTGTTGCCCTTCCCTAGACACACTCCAGGGCCTCAATGTCTTTCTTATAGTGAAGGGCTCAGAACTGATCACAGCACTTGAGTTGCAATCTCACCAGTGCCGAGTACAGAGGGACAATCACTTCCCTGCTCCTGCTGGCTGCAGTATTTCTGATACAAGCCAGGATGCCATTGGCCTTTTTGGTCACCTGGGCACACTGCTGGCTCATATTCAGCCAAGCATCAACTAATATCTCCAGGTCCATTTCCTCTACACAGTCTTCCAGCCACTCTGCCCCAAGCCTGTAGCATTGTCTGGGGTTGTTGTGACCAAGATGCAGGACCCAGTACTTGGTCCTGTTGAAATTCATCCCACTGTCCTCAGCCCAGTGATCCAGCCTTTCCATGTTCCTCCATAGGGCCTTCCTACCTCCAGGCAGGTCAACACTTCCCCCCAACTTGGTGTCATCTACAAACTCACTGAGGGTGAACTCAATTCCCTCATCCAGGTCATCAATAAAGATATTAAACAGGATGGTTCCCAAGTCTTATCCCTAGGGAACAGCACTTATGAACAGTCACCAGCTGGATTTAACTTCATTCACTACTGATCTCTGGGCCCAGCCATTCAGCCAGTACTTTAACCAGCACAGTGTACCAGCCCAGGCCATGGGCTGCAGCTTCCCCTGGAGAATGCTGCGAGTGACAGTGTCAAAGGCTATGATGAAGTCTAGATAGACTACATCAACAGCCTTTCCCTCAGTCTCCCAATTGTAGAAAGAGATAAGGTTGGTCAGGCAGGACCTGCCTTTCATGAACCAGTGCTGGCAAGGCCTGACCCCAGTTGTCCTGCACCTGCTGTGCCGTCGCACACAAGATCTAACTGCTCCATAACCTTCCTTGGCACTGAGGTTAGGTTGACAGGTCTGCAGTTCTCCAGATCTTCCTTACAACCCTTCTTCTAGATGAGAGTCAGGCTGTCAAGTCTCCAGCCACCTGGGACCTCTCCAACCACCACCTTCCCACCCCAACACACCCCCTGCCCTCTATGTTCTTCTCATGTTGCTTTTCTGCACCTCTCTTCCTCTCTTCTCCAGATCTTCAGTGCTTCATTCTCCCCACCTTGGTCCGTTTTCTCGCCACCTTACTGTTCCATTCCTGCAGGGCAATGTGTGCTGTCACTTTCCCACAAAACTATCCTCATTTGCTACCTCCTTTGGGTCAGCAGACACGAAGCTACTTCAGCATCCCTGTTCTTGCGAGTCAAGTCTGAGCTTTGGAAAACTGTGGTCAGTGGTGCCCCGGCGCCACGTCTCACCAGCTTTTATTGCTGGAGAGGATTGCTGCAACACACTGCGGCTGTAACCACTGCAAGGTCACTGTTCCAAGTGGATGAGGGAGGAAAGGGCAAGACCCACGGGTATGTTGTTACTTTCTAAAGCAAAGGCAAAGAGAAAGAATAAAAGGAAGAATTAGAGCAGTTCGCTTACTGTTAAGGCAAGGTGGCTGGTAGAGCCTATGAAGTCACCCAATAAATGCTATAAATACACACAGAGGGAAACTGGCTCCCTACTAGGCAACTGTTAAGCAAACCACAGGATATTTTTGAAGCCGCCATCCAAAAATACAAAGAAAAGTGTGACGAGCCTCCTTGTAAACCAAAAATGGAACGGATGAGCATTTTGACTCTGCTGTGATTTAGGGCTCCAGCGGGCAGGTCCTCCCTGAAAAAGAATTACCGCTTTGCGCCGGCTCTTCTGGAAGCTCAGAAATTCTTCTGTGGTCAGCAGCATCTTCATGCTTGGTTGAAAGGAAAAACAAGGACTGATGTCTCAATACTTAGCGGAACTTCTGGCAAGGCTGCAGGTTGGATTCAGTGTGCTTCTGACTGCTTCACGATCCCCAGCAATGCAAAGCAGCTGTAAAACTCTTGCAGTCAGCTGCATAACCCAGAGTTACAGCTGCTTTGCATCACCAGACTGGTGCAAAACAACCATAGCACGTCTACATTCTGCATCTGTGCATGGCTTTTGCAACACAGCAATCCACCTGGCACGCATGGAACAGCCACAGTGGGACTAGGCTGCCCAGAGAAGCTGTGGTGCCCCATCCCTGGAGGTTCAAGGCCAGGTTGGATGGGGCCCCGAGTAGCCTGAGCTGGTGAGTGGCAGCTCTGTTCATGGCACGGGATGGGATTGGATTGGATGGGCTTTGAGATCCCTTCCGACCCAACCATTCTGTGATTCTATGACCCGGACTTGGTTGCAGTGTATCAATGAATCAGAGTTCCAATGGTGTAAGCACTGCCTAACTGCAAGCTGGGCCTTTGGCAGTTGTGGGGTTTGTACAGAATTGTGGAGATTGTCTTTTCTCCTGCTCTTTTTCACCAGCAATATGAACACACTACACACAATGTACGTAGCGTTCTATCTCCTGAATTTTTTTGCGAGCTCTCCCGTTTTTCCGAGGTTTCCGATCGTTTCATCTGGCACACCGAGACAACAGCGCACATCTTAAGGCGCCTGAAAGTCCGGAGGGCTCCGCGCAGCCCCAGCCCCCTCGCAGCCCGGGGGCGGTGCAAGCAGGGCCGAGCCGGCCGCCGTGCCCGGTGCCGCTGGGGGGGCCCGGCCCGCGGTCCTTGGGGGGCAGATGCTGAGGAGCTGAGCCCGCAGCGGAGGGACGTTCTGAAACGCTTTTCTTTTTCCTTCTTTCTTTCTTTTTCCCCCTCTTTCTCCCAATCTGGCCAACTTTTCTAACTTTTCCTTTTTCCTTCTGCACTGTTTTTTCTTTTCCCCACTCGGAGAAGCCACGCCGTGGAAAGACGGGGTGGCGGTGGAGGAGGGAGAAACCCCTCCCCTTCCCCTCCCCCGTGGCTCCTTCCTCGGAAAAGCCACACTTGGGGGGTTTCCTCCCTTCCCTCCCCCTTCCCCGCCGCTCCCAGCGGCCGAGCAGCGCCCGCCGGGCACCTCCCGGCCCGGTAAGGCGAGCCTCGGCCTCGGGCCGGCGTTGAGGGTGAGGGCGGGGGGATGCGCGGCGCGGGGCCGCCTCGGTTTCGCTTCGGGGCGGGAGAGCGGCGGGGGAGGGCCGGGCAGCGCGGCTGTCGCCCCGGCGCCGAGCGCTCGCTCGCACCGGCGGCAACGCGACCCTTCGCCGGGAGATGCGGAGAGTAAGCGGGGCTCGGGGGAGGGGAAGAGAGGGGACTTTTTTCTTCTGGCTCGAAGAAGCCCGGAGGCAGCCGGGGCCGGGAGAGGGGCGTGCGGTCCGACGGAGATCGGGACGAGAGGCTCTCCGCGCTTCTTCGCCCGCCGCTGCACCGCGTTCCGCGCAGCGATGCGGGGTCGGGCGGACCGCCCCGCACCTGCGCTCCTCTGCACGCGCTGCCGGTGCTGCCGGCGCTGCCCCGCTCGGCGCTCCTGTAGGGTCGGCTCTTCGCCTCTTCCCAGCTGTGGGTGCCCTTTCGGAGAGTTTTTGTGCAAGCTCAGCCTGTGCTCCTCTTAGGATTTCTCCCTCCCCACACTTCGGTTTTTTTTTGTTTTATTTTTTTTTAAATTATTTTTATTTTTTATTTCTTTAATTTAAGCTTGGAAACGGGATCTGAACAAACCCTGAAGGTAACCGAGAGGAACTCGAGAATGTTAAATTTGTATCTGTGGCTGGTTGTTTTTGTTTGTTTGTTTGTTTTTTTGTTTTTTTGTCTGTTGATATGAGGGAAGGATGGGAATGCGGCTCGACCATTGTTTTGGGAAGTTTGGGGTAAAGAGCACATCTGCAGGCTGTGCTCTACCTGTAACTCTCCAGGTCGGGGCTGTGTGGTCCCAGCAGCGGAGTTTGCATTCAGAGAATGTCAATGCAAAACCCAGCCACATGCTGACCGTGCTTAATTCTGCAAAACGGGGTGGGATGAGAAGCAGCTGCAGCTTCCTGATGCTTCGTTTGGTGGTGACCGGGCGGGCCCTCGTGGGGCCGTGCAGCCCTGTTTCATTCTCTAAGCAGCCATCGCACAGCCTGTGGAGTTTCAGCAGACTGCAGCCATGTGCTTGAGATGATGCTCGTGCCCAGGCTGCAGTGAGCCACAGGTAAACTACCTATGGGTGTAAGGGAGCACAGGGGCGCTGTGGGCTGGTGCAGCCCCCCCGGCCTCTGTTTGCAGAGGGCTGAGTTAGGTTTCCAGATGACAGCTTTGAATACCAGCTGGTGCCTCCGTCTGTAATCCAGCTGGAATGCCTCTGGAGCTGGTGGGCAGTCCGTGCAATGGTAGATTCCTTGCTGCTGTCACTAATGCTGTGGTTGTGTTGCTGAGAAACAAACGGGAGAGGTTTCTTCCCTGGCTTCTCCTCTCTGTCCCTGCTGGAGCTTCATTCTTCTTTCTTCAGTTCAGCAAGGTGTTCCCGTAGGGCATCCATTGGTCTCAATGAGAGGCTGATGCAGAATGGGGCTGCCCATGCCTCAAAGCCCATGGTGTGGTTCAATGGGAGTGTGTGTGGTTGTAGGGGGCGGTGGGTTTTGTAAGCCAGGTGTTAAGTGTGTGTGATGTTGGAGGCATGGTGTGTTTGTTGCAAAGAAGGCAACTAATTGTTACTTTAATTACATCCCTGCTGGTGTGTACTGAGAAGCAGGAACTGAAGACAGGCATGGTACCAGCTTACCTCCTGACACTGTCTGGCCTTCCACTTGGCATCCGTGCATGGCCTCCAGCCCCACTGAGGCACTCATTAGCTGAGCGTTTTGCTGGCCTTGGCCTCAGTGCCTTTACCCAAGCAGGTCAGTGGTGCTTGGGGCAGCAGGACTCGGTGGCTTTGCATTAGGGAATGAGCAGTCAGAACGAGCCAGGTGAAGTTCATTTCCCCCATGACCAAGTGCAAGATTTCATGTTAAGATGGAGAAGCGAGGTGTTGAATGCCCTATATTTTAGCCCCTGGGAATCTCAGGCTGGGCTCAGCAGTTAGCTAATAGTACAGCAATATCGACTCAGCTTTAGTAAAAAGGCTAAATGTTGGTTTCCGTGTTGTCTTTGGAGCCCTTAGAGCTGCCCCTTATTTTCGTCCTCTTCAGTGGAGAAATGAAAAGGCCTGTGTGCACTTCACAGGAAATGAATGTCTGATACACGCTTGCAGGCTGCTCATTTCCAAGAACTGCTCTCAAGGTATTTTGATAATGCACATTCTCTCTGCCTTCTCCCTTCCTGCTCCCCTCATGCTCTCTGTGCTGCTATGTGTTCACAGATGTGTGTGAGCCCAAGGTGGGCTGTGCTGGTACTGGGCTCAAGCACAGGCGTGGGGCTGCGGGAGCTCAGCGTTGGCACTGCCTGAGATCGCAGGCAAAGCCACACGGGGCTGGCAGCGCTCAGCTGCCTTTGTCTGAGCACCCCCTGCAAATGCTGAAGGAAAACGTTGACTTGGGTAACAGTCCTTGTGGCTCTGCAGCTCAGCAATGCTGCGTGTCTGCTACCTTAGTTTCTCGGGAGCAAACTTGGGCTTAGGGAGGTCTGTGCCTTTGGCTGGGCTGCCTGTAGCTGCGTGTAAAGTTGGAGCAGTTTTGAAAGGCAGTGCTTAATACGAATGTTAAAACAAGCCCTTTGCTGCTGGATTCCTCTGCTGGAGCATGGAGGGGTGGGTGCTTCACAGTGATGGAGCAGAGAAGTTTGAGAAAGAAGAGAAATGAATGCTCTCAGATCAGCTCTCTCACTTTCCCCAGCAGCATTTTAACATGTGTGTGATTGGAGTTTTTCCCTTTTATGAGTTTTAGAATTACTTACTTTTCAATCTCGGTTACCTTTGAACTTCCTCTCTTCTCGTTTTATGAAAGAGCATAAAAAGAGCAGCCTGATTACAGGGGTGTTCCTGCTGCACCCCCTGCGTCTCTCTGCTCCATCTGAAAGCTTGCAGGTGGCTTCCTACCATCCATCCTCAGGCCCATCCCCGTTGTCTCAATTCTGCCTTTGTATTTCAGGTGTGCCAGGTGGTGGCATTGCAATCACCTTCCCACCCTGAGTATGGTCCGCTGCACCCCACTGACTTCCCACTGTTTCAGTTTTCCACATCTCTTCTGATCACTCCCTGCAGCCCTGCAGGTAAAATAGCTTTAAGTACTGCACACAGAAGGAAGAAAGCCAAAACTCTGCTTGCTTGCTTAGCTCCTCAGCAGCTCCTTCACCCCCTTGCTGGTGGCATCCCGGTGAGCTGAAGGATGGATTCCCCCAGAGGCTTTCTGGTTTTGACAAACTGAAAACACCATTTGTTTTCATTCTGTTTATCTCGGCTACCTGCTGTCCTGCTTTCATGACAGCCATCCTCATGGAAATTTGTTCCCCACCGAAACTAATTCATATTCCTTTATATTCGGCTCCGCCAGCACTTGCGTTTCATCTTTGCAAGCTGTAGAGGTTTGGGCAGGCACTGCCATTGCTGCATTTTTGTACAGTGCCTCTGACCGTGGCCACTGCTTGCAGTGTCCCTTGCACTGCTTGCAGGGGTCATCACAATCTGTCCCTTTAAGCTTTCTTTAATTGCTTCTCATGACTCAAGTCACTTCTTGCCCACTCCTGACTCTCGGGACTAGTTTCTTTATTTTGTTTGTTGGAAATTCGCATTGCTGTGTGGCTCTGCTCTGCATCCCTCATTCCTGCTGCCAACAATACAGGGATGGATTTGGGTCCCTCGCATCTGCTGGGGCCTGAGAGCAAAGGGAGCAGCCCTCCCCTGTCCCCTCAAACCTGTGGTTCTGAGCCAGTTTTCCCTGTGGATGCTGTTCATTTCCAAGGCCTGGTGTCTTCCCTGAATTCCTTTCCTGTTGAATGTGATGGTTTTGACGAGAGGCAGCTGGCATTGTGGGGACCACTGACAGCTGTCGTGTCTCAGCATTTACTCGTGTTTCTGACTGGGTGCTAGAACAGCCCAAACCAGTCAGTTCAGCCCAGCATGATTGGAAGAAGCCTCCCCAAACCAGTGCCCTGTTGGGCAGAGGTGGGCAGCAGCACATCTGTCTCTCTCAGCTTCAGCAGGACAGCCTGAGCTGCGGCTTCGAAGCCGGGTGCACTGATTTCCTGTTTCTAACAATTTTTATATTTGCGTTCTCTTTTTGCCAGTGATGTGGAGGGGGAAAAGCCTCAGAGCCCAAACCCGGACCCACATGGGTCAGCCGGTTGGGTGCAAGACAGGGTTATGGTTTGATGCGGGGCTGAGACTGCTGGGAAAAGGCTGTTTGGTTTGGAAGGAGTTGTTCTGAGTTCACAGAGTATTTCAGAGGTGTGAGGAAGGGACCATGAAAGCCACGTTTCTTCCAGCTGTTTCAGTTAGGAGAGCAAAAGCAATTAGCTTTCCCTATCAACTGCCACCGTCGTTATTTATTTTTTTGAGCAGACATGCATGCAGGCTGCCCTACCCTGGGGAATACTTGGAGCACATCGAACTATCCCATGGGTTTTCTCCATGTAAGAACCTTTCAGCCCGTGTCAGCAGAGCATCACATTGAAGCAGAAGGCATGTCATAGAAAAGTGCATAAGAAACACAAAACCAAAGCAACAAATCCACAGGGAGGTGGAATTACTTGTGGGTTTTGGGGTATGCTCTCCAACCCCAACATTATCACAGAGGTTTGATAAGACCAGTCCTTCTGGAAGATCTGTAGAAGGGTTTCCAAAGCTCTGCATGCACTCCATCTATATGTGGAAACAGGAAATGTCACAGCATGTGTAGTGTTGTGCTGCCTGTAGGAGATAACAAACGTACAGAGTTTTTCATATTGCATCCTGCTTGAATGCTGGCTGTATAGGGAAACACGGTTTTGGTTTGGTGTGAGTTTGTGTGTGTCACATTCTTTTTATCTGCTTTTGGAAAACAGAGCCCTGTACCCAGTGTTGTGTATTCCTTTGTTTCAGACACAGTGTCACTCTTGCACCAGGCTCTGATTTATGGTCATGGCATAAAAGATAGAGGGAGCTGCAGTTTCCCCGTGGCCACACTGTGCTGGAGGAGTTGTGACTGACATTGGGATGGTCCTGTGCACCCTTCTTGTACCAGAGGTTGCGATGGGGATTGGATGCATGCTTTCAGATGGGTTGCTCTAACTGTTGTGCCTTCTGTTGAGTGCAAGCTTGAGCTTGCTATTACAAATCCCAAAGTTTTTTCCTGTTGCCATGATGTCTTCACATTTGGTTTTTATGGGTTCTGCTTCCTAAAGACAATGACAGTGATAAGGTCTTTGCATTTGTCCTTAGGGCATCTGTGAGTTGTCTGGTAGTTAAACACATCGTGGCTTTGGTAGCAGCACTAACAATAATGACACCAATAATGTGTTTGTTGCTATCTGAAGTGCTGTATAAAGCCTTCTACGGTCATACAGGGTGAGGAGGGTTGAAGCATAGCAACCATCTCCAGATTTGTTGCATTTCACACCCATATTACAGCCAGCTAAAGGGCTCAGTCATCTGTTTGATGGGCATCTCTTTCTTTCCAAAGGATGGATGCACTTTCTGGGAAAGCTCTGCAAAAACTCAGCATTGCTGCATCAAGGCTCCTGACTTGGGACCAGTTGCAGGCCTGATATCTAGCAGCTCTTCCCTATGGACAGTAAATTTCAGGAGGTAAGTGAGCCCTTCAAGAAAGAAAAGCACAGGAATGAGTGCTCTCCAAGTGCTTGAAGCCACCATTGAGTGTGCCAGCTGTATCCAGCCCTAGGGCTGGCTTACACAGCAGCTGCACACAGCTGCCTGCTTCACCATCTCCATACATGAAACGCGTGGCCTTGCCTGAATAGTGAGTCAGGAGGAAGGCAGAATGCCCTTCGTCAAGAGCACTTGTTTTGAAAAGCTCTTGAACTTGCAGCAGATCAGAAGGCCTGGGGAAACTTGTCCAGCCTTTCAACCAGTGGGACATTGGTGTTTTGGAGATGTTGCTTTGGATGTAAGTGCTCTTCTTATAGTATAGAGGCAGCGATGGTCTTGGGTGTTGAGGATTTTGGGGGCTGTTTGGCAGTGAGGAAAGAAAACAAATCTTGGTATGGCAAAACAGATGAACCTTAAAAATGAAATACTAGTAAGTATTTGTAGTGGGCTAACTAACACTACTCTGCCAGCCAGTCATCTGTGGAGTTGGGACACTGAAGCTAAACAAACTCATGCTGTCTGAAGATATGACCCGCGTGTAGATTTCAAACCAAGTCAGTGCGCTATGAGGATGCTATTTTTGCACTTACTTTGAATTTGAAATGATGACACAGTCTCGGTTCTTAGTCAGCCAGACTTCTAGTAGCAGTGGATTTTTCTTAAAGGAGTTGGGAGAGTGACTCAAGGTTGAAAACTAGGACAAACAGTTGTTTTCCTGTTTTGTCAAACAGTGTCTGCAGCCTTAAACAAGTCAGACAATCACAGAATCGTTTGAGTTAGAAGGGACTCTTAAAGGCCACCTGATCCAACTCCCCTGCAGTGAACAGGGACACCTACAGTTACATCAGGGTGTTCCAGCCTCACAACAAATAAACACAAAGTGTTTATTTGTTGTTTTTAAAGTAGTCTGAAAATGAAAGACATCCGCCTGCTTCTGTTTTCCAGTTGGGATTTATTGTCCCCTATCTAGACCTAAAGTTTTGGTTTGGACCCAAGAGAAGTTGCCCTTTGGGCAGAGTGGCTGCTGGTGGGAGTGGGGATCCTTCTTGGTCCCATCACAGCTGAAGGCTCTTAGCAGGAGTGCTACCTTTTTTCCCCTTTTCTTAACTAATGTGAAATGCTCTACAGCTTCCTCATCCATCGGAGAGGAAAAGGAGAGGGATGGAGATGCTGCATCTTCTTGTGGTGCCTGCAGTGCTGAGTCTTTGGTGGTGACAGGTTGCCCTAATGGCTGCACGTGTTGTCTTGCTTATGTTCTGCTCACCAAATCAGATTCCCCTAAGATTTGTTCTGACTGGTTGAACCCTCTGACAAGCTTTTAGCTGGCTTTTTTTATTATTTTTTAATGGAAAAGAAAAAACCCAGCTTGATTAACACCTTCCTCCCCCTCCCACCTTTCTCAGAGTGGAATTTCCCTCCCACAGCAACACGTGGCTCAAGAGCAGGATCAGTGGTGTTCAGAGCAGTGCCAGGGATGTTGTGGTCTGCAAATCACAGGGTAGAAAATAGAGTGCCACTGAAGAGGCTTCCCAGGCTTGGACAGTGTGTATGGAGGCCAGAGTGTACGACCCTGTAATAGAGGTGCAGCTGACTTATTGATACCACTGTTGAGCATTGCAAGAGGAATGAGGAGAGAAAAGGTGACCCCAGGCAAGGTGCTGCTGGGCACCTCTGGGTCCCTGTGTTCCCTAGTGAGCCTATGGCCACAGTGGGGCCCACTAGGGAAGGGGCACAGGCTGCTGGGCCACAGCGTTGGGCCTGCTCAGAGCATGGCTGTGCTGCCAGCGACTGAGTCTGGGTTAATGGAGTGTGTCAAGGGACCGAGGGCAGGGGTTGGCGGTGAGCGAGTGACTTGTCAGGCCTGGGGAAGTGGTATGTGACAGCTCCACTTCTCACACAGAGCGAGCCTCTGGCTTGGGGCTGTGGTTTCTATGTTTATGTATATATATATACTCACACATACAGAGAAAATGTATTTTTTTAATAATTGAAATGACTCTGATGGATAGCTGATGGCAACACTGGATACACGACTCTGTTTTCCAAAAGCAGACAATCTGGTGGCAACATGACGCACAGGAGATGAGCGGGGTTGAGACAGCGAGAGAGGGCACCTGCCTGAATCATAGAATCATAGTCGTAGAACGGTGTGGGCTGGAAGGGACCTCAAATCCTACCCAGCTCCAACCCCTGCTGTGGGCAGGGCTGCCACCCACCAGGTCTGGCTGCCTTGGTCCTCATCCAACCTGGCCTTGAGTGTCTCCAGTGATGGAGAAAAGGAAGCAATGGGAGCTGAGGACGGTGGCTGGGAGAGGGCAACAGCACCTGCAGGCAGTGGGGAGATATCCCTGCAGCACAAGCAGAGTAGATGGTCCTGAGCAGAAATGCTCCTTGGGCATCAGCAGAGCCTGGTGTCAGCACAAGTGCTCTCACTGGTGGCAGCTCTGAAGCTGATGATGCATTTCATAGAATCATAGAATTATTAGATTGGAAAGACCAATAGAATCATTGAGTCCGGCCACAAGCCCATGTCTATGACTGCTCTAGACCACGTCCCTCAGTGTGACATCTTTCCTTTTCTTGAATACTCCCAGAGACAGTGACTCAACCACATCTCTGGACAGCCTGTTCCAATACAGCATTATTCCTTCCGAAAAGAAATTGTTTCCAACGTCCAACCAGAACCTCCCCTGGTGCAATTTGAGGCCATCCCATCTTGTCCTGTCGCTGTTTCCCAGGAGGAAGCCAACTTCCCCTTTGCTACCACCTCCTTTGAGGTCACCGTAGTGAGGTCTCCCCTGAGTCTCCTCTTCTCCAGACTGAGCAACCCCAGTCCCCTCAGCTGCTCCCCATCAGACTTGTGCTACAGACCCTTTACAGCTCCACTGCCATTCTATGGACATGCTCTGGGGCCTCAGTGTCTTGTAGTGAAGGGCTCAAAACTGAACACAGGTGTGGACCTGGATTTCTTGCAGATTGGATCTGGGAGTATCCTGATGTAAGGGAATGGGGCTTTGGTGGGAAGGGCTTGTTCCATTCTGTTGTTGCTTGTGGGTCTTGCTGTCTGTTCTGATTGAGGGGTTGCTGAATGCCAAAATGAAAGATACCCTTCTGCTTGGGAAATTCTTCTCACTTGGGAACTCATTTCCTCTTGCCAGACTCAAGACCACTCTGAAAAGCCCCTGGCCATCCAAAAGAGGGAAATCACAAAATAATGAGATCTGCTAGATACAAGCCAGCCTAAAGGATGTGCTGAGAAGCCCCTAGATGTGAGATGTATGAACCCAATGGATGCAGCAATGTAACCCGGTCCCTTGCACTGGTGTGGCCCAGCTGGAGTCTCTCCTGCTTGTATTTGCTTGGTGTACCTACAGCTGTGGGTTGGTGGCACACCACGGCACGGCTTTTCTCCCTGAGAAATGTCCTCACTTGCTCGGTGCGAGGATGCAGGGGTTTGCCTCACTCTGCTTCTCTCCTGCAGGCTGGAGGCGACAGAGAAAGCATGGTAAATGCAGCGTCTCCCTGGGATCCATGGGCTCTTTGAGAGATGATCAGAGGGAGGCCAGATGATCTGCAAAACACACGCACCACTGTTGCTTGTCTGCAAAGGCAGCATCGGAGCGTTCTCCCCAGCCCCGCACCGCCTGGCCTGCCCGATCGCTTCCGGATGTTTCGCAGTTGCGAGTGGGAGGTCCTGGAGCGATCCCTCAACATCCTTCAGGCCAGTGACTTCTACTGGGGCCCGCTGTCCGTTGGGGAGGCCCATGCCAAGCTGCAGCGGGAGCCCGTCGGCACCTACCTGGTGCGAGACAGCTCGCAGGGGAATTGCTTGTTCAGCCTGAGCGTGCGGATGCCGACTGGGCCCGTCAGCCTCCGCATCTCTTTCCAAGAGGGCTATTTCCGTCTGAAGAACTGGTTTTCGGACTGCGTGGTCCGGCTGCTGGAGCTGGTGGTGGCGGGGACCCGCAACAACCCCTTGCACTTTGATGAGATGGGGGGAACTCCTCTGGTCTTTTCCGAGCCATTGTGCCGGAGCCGCCGGACTGTGCCCACGCTGCGAGAACTGTGCCAGCGGCACCTGCCTGCTCCCGCCGCTGCCATGCGGACGTGCCCACGGGAGGCGGCGGTGTCACCCCTGGATGGGAGAGTGGTCCCCAGCCCCTCTGCAACTGGCACTAGGAGATGATGCTGGGTATTTGGAGGCGAAGGGTTGCACACGGCCATGCTGGAGGGGCAGGGTGCCTGCACCCACTGGCTGCAAAAGCTGTGTCTTCAAACAAGCACAACATGCTTGACCTTCCCCCATATGGCTGGGGTGAAGCCAAGCCTGAAGAACAGCTCTTCCCACCCCCAAGTCCTGCTCTTGGCTCCGTTCATGACTAATAAGCTTGAGAACAGGGCGAGCTGCCTGTCCCAGGTCAGCTCCACTACCCAAAGTGCCTAAGCTAGTTTATGCTGCCAGTGTGCCTTCGTGAAGCCATATGGCCCCACAGTGCTGCATCCTGGGTATTGGTGGGCACGGGCCACAAGCTAACCGGAGGCCACATGTTAACAGGAGTCCACGTATCTGTGCCTGAGCACAAATGCAAAATCTGCCCCTTCAGAGATCAGCACTTTTGGGGAAAAAACATTGCAGCCGTGTACAATATGTGCAGCTTGAGTGGCTTCTGCATTGCTTTATTTGAACAGGTTTTTGGGAGTGCAGATGAGTTACTTTATACTACGGGCATCGTGCTCCTGAGAGGCAGGTCTGAGGTCGGTTCTGCCCTGCAGGGTGTGAGCAGACCCAGTCCAGAGCCTCTTATCCTCATCTGATAGTATGCTGCTGCCACCTATGGGCTACAAAAAGGTGTTTTGTCTTGCCTCAAGAAGAGGCAAAGAATTTTTTATACAACTCCTAAATTTTAATAAACATGTTTTTATACTTATTTTTAAAAGCCAACAGATACAGTGGTGTTTTCATTCCGTTGCATTGCTGGAAACCCCATTAGTCTAGTGCAGAGGCATGGTAATCAAACTGCACCTGAACAAGGGAATTTCTTTTGAAGAGCAGATGCAGTACATAAAGGAATGGTCCTAGCTGGGACCATTAGGTGCAGTTTACCTTACGGTGCAATGAAATAAGAATTGAATGAAAGTAAGATAATTCCTAAAAATGTAGGGGTGAAATTTTTAGAAGTATTTTTTTTTAGTGTTTTCAGACCTGAGCCGAGTGTTTGAAGGAAAGGCTGGTGCTTTGAGATTCTAGAGCATGGCACAGCATCAGTGAGCTGTAACTGCAGAGAGTGTGGGACAGAGAGGGATTAAATAGGGGTAGGAAAAATCTTAGCACTGTTGATTCATTTTAGGGTTCAGGTGGGCTTGATATCCTTGACAAAAACAAACAACTAAAAGCAGCTACATGGAAGCAGTTTAGTGTGTTTGGATATTGTGAAAGAGGACACCTGAATGGGATCAGGGAGGAACTGGCTTCCACAAGCATGTTGTGTGAGCAGACTGCTGTGCTCACTCTGCCCTTCCCCTTCAGACTTGCACAGGGAAAAAATACCAATTGCAGAGAGACGTGACCCTGAATTTGCTCTCTTGGCTTTAGGTGTCTTATCTGAGGAACCACTGTGTGCAGCCAGTGCAGAGAGAGATACGGCGCATTATTCATGGCAGGAGCTCTTTGGACGCTGAATTAATCTCGAGAGATTTCTGCTGCGCTGCTGGCAGCGAGGTCCTGCCCTCCTCCCGAGGCTCTGCCTTGTGATCCAAGGCTGCTGAATTAGTGCTGTGGGGAGATCCATCCCCTTGCCAGCCCCAGGGAGGGATGGGGCAGCCCGGTGGCACTGCAGCTGTGGGTGAGGGAGTGATTATCTCACTGTACTGGCTGCTCATTAGACCCCGTTTAGAATATTACATCTAGTTTGGGGTCTCTGTTGCAACAAAAATATCATCAATTGGAGTTGGCTCAGAGGTATGACCCCAAGAGCTGCAGCACTTGCCCCGTGAGGAGAGGCTGAGGGTGCTGGGTTTGTTCAGTCTGGGGAGTAGATGGCTTTGGAGGACCTCAGAGCAACTTGCCTATACCTGTGAGGGGCTCCACAAGGAGTCATGCTCACCACAGCATTGCCTTGTGGGAGAAGGAGACACAAGGGTGGAAACAAGTCCATGCTGGGTAGGATGGGGGGATCCATTTGCGGACAGGTTGCCCAGAAAGGCGCGCAGTCTCCATGCTTAGAAGTCTTCAAGGCCCAACTGGATTGGCTTGTTACTAACTCTTGTTACTCCTGTGCCCACCCTGCCAGCCCCTCGGGTGGCTTTGGGCATGTGCTGGCTTTCAGGGGAAGTCCTGGTGGGTCAGCTGAGCGTGTTCTTCTCCCTCTGCCCACCCAGGGGTTGAAGCCGTGTCTCCTGCCCTTCTCCTCACTCCTTTCATATACGGGGCATGCTGGCTGCCTTCCCTCCCTCCCTTCCTAAACTGGGGGTGGTGGGAAAGCGTTTGGCTCATTTCTTCACCATTTACAGCCGAGCACAGAAATGCTTCTGTTTTATTGCAGCAGTTATAACTCGCTGAGGGAAGAGCTTTCTGACTGGATCGCACTGACCTGGTGATGAACTGCTCTCATTTGGCCCGAAATGAGCATCTTGGGCTGCGCGGCCGAGGGCTGAGGAACAGCCGTGTTTGTGGCCAGGGCTGTGCTTGAGGAAAATCACACATAGGGAGGAAGACGTAGTTTGGATTTTAATAAAATCTACTTTATTTTGTTCTTTTTTTTTTTTAATTGCGCAGCAAGTACTTGTCTGTCTTACAAGTAAGTCAATTCCATGCAGGGCTGTAGCAAATTGATTTGAGATCTGAGGATGAAAAGCAGTGAATGACTGCCAAGTATTGTTACATTATGAAAGTTTAAAGCACATTATGATGCCTACCCTCATTATCCCAGAGGAAAGGGCACGTCTTGGATCAGGATTGGTGCAAGAAAAGAAATCAATTTGGGAAGAACAAGAATGTGAGAAATGCATCAGATGTGGCCAGCTTTACGGAGGGGGCCAGAAGTCCTTTTCCTTATACTCTGGATGCAAAAAAAAAGGCACACAGAGTAAAATCAGAAGAGGTTACATCCGAGGAGTGACTGCTGGTGACATCCATGGGCTCCCAGCTGTGGGTGGGATATGCTGGCTGCAGCCACCCTGCCCCTGAGCCACACAGAGCAGCACATCGTGGCCCACCGCCAAGCGCTGTGTTTGGTGGCTCCTAAAGGAGCTTATAAAGAAATTACAAACTTCCTCACAACCCCGCAAGCACCGTTTGGGGACTAGAAGAAAATTGTTTGCATTTTTATACGCTATGTTACACATTTCTCCAGCTGACTCGTTTCAGTTTGCCGAGGAAGCTTACACAGCCCTGCAGATGGTTTCCTTCAACCACTCGTCCTCACAGCCTGAATGGAGAGGTCTGGCCTCTTTGCCAGGCTGCTCGGGGCTGGATCAGTCTCAGTGGGAAGCTGCTCCTCATCTGCTGCCTGCCAGCACTGCTCTGGGGTCGCAAGGGTTAATTTCCCAAAATCCTCCGCTGAAACTTGTTAATGATTTCCATATGTACCCCTGTGTGCACGCAGGAGGGGCCCCACGGCCAGCAGCTCTTGTAATAACACTTGATTACCTCTGACATAAGGGTCTGTATTGCATTAGGGCTCTGCCTCAGAGCATCAAAATTCACCCAAACACAAAAGTTTTGTGCAAACACGTTTCAAAAAATGCATTAACATTTCAGCATATTCACTGTCTGGAAATGAGTGCTCCTATGCAGGCAAGCTTCAGAACAAAACCTCCTGCATACCCACAGCAGTGCCTTGGTTAGGGCTCTTGCCCTGACATCCTGCATAAAATATGTATGTCCATCATTATCATAGAATCATGGAATTCAAGTTTGAGCTGGAAGAGACCATTAAAGTTCATCTGTGGTCCAACCCCACTACAATGAACAGAGACACCCACAGCTCGATCAGGGTGCTCAGCACCCCTCCAGCCTGATATTGGATGTCTCCAGGGACAGGGATCCACCTACTCTCTGGGCAGCCTTTGCCAGTGCCTTACCCTCATGATGGTAAAACACTTCTTCCAGTGTAAACCTCCCCTTATTTAGTTTGAAGACATTTCTCTGTGTTCTATCACAACAGACTCTGCTAAAGTGTCTCCCCTGGTCTCTTATAGCCCTCCTTTAGACGCTGACCTTTAAATGTGCTAAAAGTCTCAATTTGCAAGGATACCTTGGTTAGGAGAATCTGACTATTTTGTCTGAGTTCATTTTGCAGCAATCCCTCAGACATTTGGCATTTGCAAACTGCTGTGCACAGCGGAGCTTTCTGCCATTGCCTGGCACAAAGGCAGGGCCGCAGAGGGCAGACGGCCATCAAAGGGAGAGCAGGTGTCAAAGGAGACCGGCAGCATCCTCAGCTGCCTCCCTGCAAAGCTGCCAGGGCCCAGTGTGCTCTCTGCTCCTGTGATCTCAGCTGGGGCAGCAGTACTGCCATTTTGATGCAGGCAGAGCAGAGCACTTCCAACTGCCTCCCGTAGCGGCTGGCTGTTGGCTCGGACTTCTCATCAGGGAGGTCTGGGCCAGAGGTCTGCAGAGCATAAGTGACATGGAGTAGGAGGCTGAGTTGTGTTTTCTTAAAACAAACAAACAAAAAAAAAAAAAAGAAGGAAGCAGCCAATCAGATACTCGAGTGTGAGTGTGAAACAAAAGGAGGTATTTGTTCACGTGATGTCTGATAGTGACAGGACAAGGGGGAATTGCTTTAAACTGAAAGAGGAGAGGTTTAGGTTAGATACTGGGAGGGGAGTTTTTACTCAGAGGGCAGAGAGGCACTCTGCTCAGTGCACAGGCTGCCCAGAGAGCTGTGGGTGCCCCATCCCTGGAGGTTGAAGACCAGGTTGGATGGGGCCCTGGGCAGCCTGAGCTGGGGGGTGGCAGCCCTGCGCACGGCACGGGGTGGGACTGGGTGGGCTCTGAGGTCTCTTCCAACCCCACTGTTCTGTGAATGTATGATTCTGCGATTCTCTGGGTAGGAAGGTCAGAAGCAGAGGACAGCCTCAGACCCAAGTGACAGCTGGAACAGCTCTGCCCAGTGCACAGGTTGTGTGGGAAAGGAGCTTCAAATATGTTGCGCAATGAGGACGAAGAAAACACCACACAGCAGTGGCAGCCTTCTAGATCTGCATCCCACTCTGAGCAAACAGCTAAATGAAGATCGGTGTGGATCCTGGGCTACCTCCTTCTCTGCAGTGCCACTCTTGCTGGCAGAGCTGCAGACCTTCCAGCCGTTCCCAGATGCCATTGAAATCAGTGACCAGATTGCTGTTTGCCTCAGAAGGTTTTGGATGAGACCCCCTCATTTTGTGAGCTGGTGTGAGCAAACACCGGCTTTCTGCAGTAAACGTAATCACAACAAACCATGCTCCCACTGGCTTGCGCATCAAATCATGCTGGGGGAATTGCTGGCATTCGGCATGATTAGCCTAAGCGTAAATGCCTTCCAGCTCATAAACAATAGCCTCAAGGACTGGAAAGGATCACAAACAAAGCACTTACAGACAAGACAGTGTTTTCAGAAGTGACTTGAGAGCTTATGTCCATTGGGGGTTTGTCTTTTAAAAATAAACCAGAAGTAAACAAATTGAGAAAGACGTCTCTGAAGAATCTGAGAGAATGAAAGCAAGGATGTACTACTTCAAAATGGAAAAATGAAGGTGGGGAAAAGCTTTGGGCAAGGCTGGTAATTCCGTTTAAGATGCTTAAGACAATGTGCCCACAGCCTTGAGAATGGATGGGCTTTGGAAATGTCACCTTTCTGGGCAGATATGGAGCTACAGGGTGGGTGGGAGGAAAGACATGGGCTGCATCCAACTTGCCTCCAGTTGGTCAGCAGGGAGAAGTCTTTGCTCCATTTCACAGGAG